AAATGGTGAAAACAAAGCTTCATCCACGAAAAAAAGTGATTCAAAGTCAGATACAAAGAATAAGTGGGACTTTCTAATGGTGAGTTGTCATAACAAATTATTGCTAAGAGATTTGTTTACTGTAGACCTAAACATCAGTGTTTTTAGAAACCATCTACAAGCAAGAACAAAAACGACGTTATTAGATCGACAGGCAAAGTTAAGAACGAAGTTGTCAGCATTGAGGAAACCGACGCTTCAACATCTACTGCGAATTCTACTAGCACCGAAGCTATGAAAGCCCAGAAGAGTAATTGATAACTATCTTCACTCTTCTTTTTTTTCATCCTTTTTGTTTAGTTGCAGCGAATGATGGTGTGAAAATAATGAAGATAGCCGATTTGGAAGTTGAACGTGATAGAGTGTTAAAAGAAGTTTTTGGTCATAAGAAATTCAAAAGTTCGCTTCAGAAAAAGGCTACAAATTGTATACTTTTGAGTGAGTTTCCAGTTACTTTCAATTACTAACCTATGACTTGGGATTTAGGGAAAGCTGACGTGTACGTCTCATTGCCTACCGGAGCAGGAAAATCTTTGTGTTACCAGGTAAAAGAAACCCTTACTTAATTTGACTCAATTTTTCACCCTCCAGCTTCCTGCGGTTGTTCATGCGGGCGTGACCGTCGTTGTTTCTCCTCTTATAGCCTTGATAACGGATCAGATTGCGGCTTTGAAGGTAAGTTCGGGGTATCCACACTGAAACTTCAAAGTATAACCCAACCAACTCTAGGAGAAGGGTATTCCCAGCGAGTCGCTTAATTCAAAATTGAGTGCACCGGAGAGAACTCGAATAATAGAGGTATTCTGACTGGTTCTTTTTTTCTGCTATGCATATCATGTTCTCAGGATCTACGCAATAACAAGCCTACTCTGAAACTGCTCTATATAACACCGGAAGCGGCGGCTACCGACAACATGCGAAGGTGCGCGTTTATTTACCGTTTACTCACCTTGGGAAAGTTATGTTTATCTCAGTCATTTATTCTTGAAGATGTATTTTGCTTTTCGCACTTCATCTCAATCGAAACCGTGTTTATTGAGACGTTCAAGTTGTTTACAGCAGTAAGCTGACGGATTCGCCTGGAGATCTCTTCTACAGTTAGGCGAACGCTTCGCAATGTTTTGCGCACGCGTTGTCATCTAGTCGTTATGATTACAGCGATTAGATTCACTTCATATGTTCGTTGACGTTCTCTTTCGTATCGCAACGAGTTAGTTTGGGAGTTTTGAACTGCTTATCCTTGTCAAGGATTCACACTAGCGTAGAATCAGCCCGCATTAACTGTTTCGACGAACAACTGTCATGTCTGTGACGCCCATCGCACTAGTCTAGTATGAGCTACTGATTCTACGGTGGGCTGAATGCTTCCAACAAATTTAATCGTTTGAAGCGTTAGGTCAGAAACTGACTGTTCCACCAACTTACGTCCAAATTCTAAAATGAAAACGCGTGGAAACTTCTCATATGTTTGTTTTGTCTGTTTACCAAAGAGTAGTCAAGGAGCTGGGACCACATAGCTGGTATTCCAATTTTGTGCGCGGCCGTAACAGTCCTAAAATACCCTCTTGCGCATGTAAACTATTTTTCAACTCGATCTTCTCAGCTGTAATATCAGAGCACTTAACCATTTTGATTTGTTTTTAAAACTATGTCTGTTGGTTGATATCAAATACGCGGTAGTGTTTGACACCTTGATTTTTTTCCAACGTTTTCTTTTCAGAATATTAGCCTCTCTGCA